GCGCCGACCTTGGTGACAGGTAAGGCAACGCGAGATGCAGCGCCCCACAAAAGGAACGCCCATACTTCCCGTCCGCGGTGCATTCCGACCGCGCGACATGGGCGGAAACGATATTGGAAACCCCGCTCCAATGAAACCGCGTTTCCAAAGTCCCAGCCAGAAATAGCTCCCGCTTCGGGAACGCTCCTCCAGGACGACGTAGACGCCCAGACATGTGAAGCCCAGTGAGCCCCCTCGCCATTAGCACGCGCAGACGCCCTACAATCAAACGAGGGGACGCTGGCAGCAACCGCTCAGCGCAGCTTGGCGCCGAGCGCAGCAACGCGCCGACTTGAAGAACCCTCGCGACGCAAGTTAGATCAGCGCCTCGGCGGTGCCGCGGCGTGAGTTGACTTCGGGCAGGAGGAGACTGCACCTTGAACTCAGGAGGCTCCAGATACAGCCAGGCACAACTCATAGCACGATTCTCCAGGACAGATTCACGCCAGGGCGGCCCCGAATATCGGGGAAGGGGCGCTCCATGGAGGTGGGCGCGGCCACATCGTCGACCAGAACATTCCTGGGGTGCCCGAGGCGACCCCGACAATGGTCCCAGTGAGCCAGCGATGTCCTGGGTGAGACGCTGAGGCTTACGAGAATCGCAAAGCGCGCCCTCCCCCGCAATCCGTGCAGCTTCTTGGCCATCAACCAAGAAGAGGGGCGCGTCCCAATCGCGGCTCCCATGTGGAACGCGCCGAACCAGCGCAGACCGGGCAGCAATGGTCTCAGAAGCCAGAGCAACCAAAATATGACGCGCAACTTCGGAATCCTGGGCGCCAGAGAATGCCCGGGCGAGCGGCGTGCCCGGCCGCGTCGAAAACGCGCGGGATGGCCCCGACCCCAGCGAACTCCAGAAACAGTCCCGCGAGGCCCAAGACGGGGCCCTCCAGAGCCGGCGTAGATGTGGACAGAGAACCACGCCAAGCTCGTCCGCGTAAGAGACCAGCGGCAACTCAGCAATGATTGCAGAGTGCCGATACTGCACGGCGGCCCAACGTTGCGTGCAGAGACTTGCAGACCACAGCCTGGGAAGAGGATCCACTTCTGGATCTGAGTTGGGAAGTGGGCTGTGGGAGCGCCCCCTGTTGTTGAAGCCGCCCACCTCAGTGACAGGGGGGGGTCAGATCCCGGGGGAACAAGGTGTTGACTGCGCGGGTTGTGGCATCCGACGCACAGCCTGAATGCGCATCATGATCCCCCTCCCGAGCGAATGGAAACACGCATCCGTGCCCTCCGCGGTCTCCCCGAAAGGCTGGGTTAGCGCCTCGGGCGAATCGATGTTCGCGCCGCTATCATCCGCAACGGCCTCGGCACCTGTAGCAGGAAGACAACGAGCTTTGCATGCTTGCTGGTCTCCTGGCGCATTCTCTACGACAAGTCGAATCAGCCGCCGCGCGCGATCCCCAGCAACGCCGGCAGAGCCTGACGACTTGGCAGCCAACGCTCGATTACCTGTGCCAGACTTGCCACCACAAGTGCTGCATGACGGTTATTATGGCGCTGCAGCTGCTCCGCTGGCACTCGACTTAGCCACCTGAACATGGTCGCAGCAAGACTCGACTGCGCGGTCCTGGACGCCTCGCAGACTTATGCAAGGACCCGCCACCACACCAAATTGGTCAGCCTGCAACTCCGTAATCACACGTGGATGGGCAGGAATGGCACTCGCAGCAACACTAACCTCGAACGACAAATGGACGACAGGGGCGAACGGCGAAGACGGCGAGGCTGGACTGGAGTGCTCCTTAAACACCACCTGTTCGGTCTCCACCTCTGCCAAACTCTCGAAATCCGTGTGCGTGGCCGCGGGGTGCCGGCTATGTTGCCCGACGGCTTCACGACGAATGGCAGTCAAAGCGAAAACAATATAAGCGTCGCCTGGGCCACTTCTAACCTCTTGGGTGCCCGATCCATGTATGAACGCGGGTGTAGCGTCCTCTCCTTGGCAATACGCGTGTATGTACATGAGCTGCAAGACCAACAATTCTGACTCGCTTTCTCCGATGCGAGCCTCCTCGGCCTTCACATCCATCACCTGCTGAATGCGCTTCTCGAGCGCTTCGGTCGACTCATCGACCAGCCGGCGATGTTTCCTCCTCTCGGCTGCGACCGATGGGGGTCCGATCCAACCCCTGCATGTGCTTGGGCCGCGCCCAGTGATGCCACCACTCCTGGCCTTCTGGTAGATGATTGTCCACGGGGCTCGCGCTCGATGGGGGGAGCATTCTGATTTGGACTCCTCTCCCTTGGGTGCCCGCGACCGAGCTCTCGCTCTGAGACGAGCGAGCCCCGCGTGAAAGAAAACGATCAAGGCGGCCAACCCCCCCGCATTCTCCTGTTCCTTCTCTTCTTGACTTTGGACTTGCCGGTCGGCCAGCACGAGGCACCGAGCCGACGACGGGAACTGTTCAGCACCACAATGCGAACAGAACCATGGACAATATCGGGCCCATTTGCACTGTGATGCGATTCGAGAAGAAGACGCGCTCGAACAGATTGGACTAGTGAGCGACCCGACAAGCGAATTTCACGACCTCTGACGTCTGTGACGCGGCGTCGTAATGTACGCAGCTGAGTGGGCACTGTCGCGGCCAATTCCGCGGCTGCGCGGGCCAGCGCGTATGGCGGCCGATCCCGAGAGACGAGCAGCTACCTTGGTACCTGGTGCCAAGGAAATGCTCCCCAAACCTGGAGCCGGGACGGCGGCTGGGGTGGAGGGAGGCAGGAGGGAGGGAGGGAGGGAGGGGAGGAGGGAAGAAGGGGGGAGGGAGGAGGAATAGACGGAAATCGGGAAGGAAAGGAAAATGCCAACGGTTGCTTCGGCCATCCAGAACTTCATAACTTAAGTATACGGACCGCGCCCTCGTTGTGCCCGGTGCTCGCGCCTCCTCGAAGGCCAATTGGGCGTGGTTACAACTGATGTGGATCGAACTTTCAAGTTCCGCGATGCTTCCGCGGTCACGGCCGATTGGGCGCCCATCGCCAGCATTCCTCAGGAGTGCTAAAGGAATGAAAACTGCCTGCTTCGTGAAGGCATGCGCAAACTTTTCACGCATCCTGTCTCACACGGGACAATCCTGGCGTTCTCAATGGTAGCGGTGGCGGTCAGCGCCACATGCATCTTGACGGTTGTGGTTTGGAGCAACATATAACCAGGATGCGAGCACGTATCTGATATCACAAGTGTAATTGTTAGTTTTGCAACTGGTGAGGTGCATCTGATCACGGAGGACATGTGATTTGGATGTGCGTCTGCGTTGCAACTGTTACGGCGTGGTACGAGCACATGACTGAACTTGTCAAGCGAATTCTCCGACCCTGTGAAACTGCGTGTAACGCAGGTGATGACCGTCTCATCGTACACTGCACGCCGCAGGAAGAATGGATTTGGGGTTCCGTGTGGTGCAGGATTCGCGTGACGGATGTGCCGAAGTAGGCGGGGCGGGGGGCACAACGCGAATCTGCTCACTTGGGCACCCGTTTGCATCACATCCCGTGTACAGGGTTTGCGCATACTTTCAAGCCTGTGCACTTCAACGCCTGAGCACATAACGGAACTTGTGTATACATACCACAAGGCCCGCGTGCATCAGAAAGCCATGTATAACACGTGTCCACCTGCACCAAATGCCCCGCGTGTACCACGTGCCCTGTATGCACATTACGCTCGCACTGCCTCTGTACATCACAGGGCCTGTGCGAACTACGAGGCCTCCGTGCATCACTGCCACCACCACACGCTGGCGCACTAGCACCACTTAAAAACAAGTCCACGGAAACCGGCGTTTGAGCGCTCGCCTCCAAACCAGAATCGGGGCGACGTCGCCATACACGCATGGGTGAATCCTCGACTGCTACCTCTTCCAACTCGCCATCCTCCTCTGTATCCTGATCGCGTCCACCTCTTCCTGATCCGCCTCCTCTCTTCCACAATCAAGCTGTGACTCCTCAGTCTTCCTCCTTCTCCTCCTACTTCTTCCACTCACTGAGTAACTACAGGAATGTACGCGGCAAGAGAAATCGGGGCGCGGGGGCCAATGGGCACCGCAGGATAGCGCCGCTCCGCCACGTTGTCGCCGCGCCCGCCAGGGAAGAGGAAGATGGGGAGGGTTGAGGGGGCAAAATGACGAGGACGAGGAAGAAGCGCGCGGTGTGGGACCGGCGGGACCGGCCCTAGGAGGGCGGCGCGGGGAGGCCGGAGCCCTCAGGAGCCGTCCTGGGCGACGGGTGATCGACGTGTGTGGGAGTCGGATACGGGAGGCTGGATGTCGGAGTGTCAATCTGGTGCAGTCTGGAGCTCGATGGGTGGATGTGGGAGTGGAAGGCCGGACGCTGGAGGCTGGAAGGTCGAGAAGGGATGATGACGAGAAGGGCAAGGAGCAGCCGCAGGATGGATGAGGAGAGGGCAGTGGAATGCCGAAGAGTAGCGTCAGCGGAGCAGAACGGCAGCGAAGGGAGCAGCCGTGGCAGCAGCGCCCAGCAGCGCCAGTGGTTGGACCAGGGGGCGGCAGCAGAGACAGCATGAGAAGTTGTGAGCACCAGGGGTGATCCTCCCGATTTTCATCCGAGTGATATTCCTTCTCCCTTTCTTCCTCCTCCTCCTCCTCCGCCGCCTCATCCTCATTGCGATCCTCCTCCTCCTCCTCCTCCTCCTCACAGTGTTCTTTCTCCTCCTCATCCTCTCCTCCGCGTTCTTCTTCGGCTCCTCTGCCTGCGCTCCCCCTCCTCCTGCTCCTCAAGCTCCTCCTCGGCGGAGGAGCCGCGGAGTGGGGGTGGATGAAGAGTCCTTGCAAGTCTTCGAGTCTTGTGTATTCGGGTCCTTGCAGGAGCAAGCCGCGCTCAAAGTCATGACGCTCGGGCGGCAATCCCCTTCGCATGAAACAGTGTGCTCTCTGTGATCACCGCATCGCGCAGCAGCAGCTGCTGCGTTCAAAGCAAAAGAGGGAGCGCGGCCGCCTTCCTCAGGCCGGCTTTTTCAGGTTTACCAGCACGACCGTGATGTCGTCGACCACCGAGCCGCCCTCCTCCCTGATCCAGCGGTCCCACGCCTCCGACGGGCAACGGACGAGCACGAGCGGGCAGCGGACCGGAAGAATGCAAAGCGGGAGACCGCTGAGGTGGAGGAGGAGCAGGACGAGAAGGATGGCAACGACGAGGAGACGTGGAGCTGACGAGTGAGAAGATCTGGATGATATGGAAGAAACAAGACATCGAGGATGACGGCGCGTGTGAGGATAAACGCGATGACGCGGACGATTTGATCAGCTGATGTTCGGGCGCTCGCGGATACATCCAGGCTATGCCAAGTTTCTTACAGCTTGCGTGGCAGATGCCACCTGTCTAATTGACAGGTGGGTTGTTGCCCAATGATCGGGCGAAGCAGGAAGACGGATAAGGAGGGGAAGGGAGACAAGCCCGCCAGCCCTCTGGGCGCAGGCGGTCTGACGATGTATTCCTTCCCTCTTCCAAAACCCCCTTGCCCCTAGTCTACGTCGGCAAACACCGCATGCGCGAGCGACAGGGCCGCCGCGCGCGCGGCGACCTGGGGCCAATTGATATTGTTCACGCAGTATGCGCGAGGGGCAGGGCAACCGCGCGCGCGGCGGCCTTGAGCCACCCTGCGTGGGAACCCTCCCAGAGGCTTCTTTTGGGGCGTCGCGAGGTGTCAGAGGGTCCTTTCTCGCCCAAGATCGCTCCAAGAGGGCCCCCGATGCTCCAGGATGGCCTCCAGTTTGCCTCAAGATAGCGCCAGATCGCTCAAGATGACCTCCATCTTGCCTCAAAGAGGCTCCAAAAGGGCCACAAGACATTTCTAGGTGCTTTTGGAGACCCCTCAGGACCTCCCCGAGAAGCCGAAATCCTTCAATTACCTAAGGAATATCAATGTGGTGTGCCTTCTCTTTTCGATTCCAATGCGATGTTGATGCCTCAAAATGGCCCCAAGATGGCCCAATGGAGCTCCAAGAGGGTCCCAGGAGGCCCCAAAGACGGCCCCACGACCGACCAAGCTCGCCCCAAGAGCGCCCCTAAGACGTCATTTTTAGGCCTCTTCAGGAGGGGCCTCGATGAAGGACCCCCCATCTTTTGATCGATGGCCTGCAAGATGGCCCCAGGAGGCCCTCCGAAGCTCACAGAAGAGCTCCAAGAGAGCCCCAAGAGAGCTCCAAGACCCCCAACAGAGACCCAAGAGGACCCCAAGACCCCCTACAAAAGCTTCAACAAGGCTCCAAGAGGCGATTTCTGAAGATTCCGAAGGGGGGGGGGGGGGGGGCGAAATCGGAGACCCCGCATCCTTTGATCCATGCTCTCCGAAACTGCCCCAAGACGATCTCCAGGGCCCGAAAATTCCCAAGAGGATTTCCAGACGAAATACCCTTCACAAGAGCCTCAAGAGGACCCCAAGACCTTCGAAACAAGCCCCAAGAGGCCCCCGGAAGACCCTGAAGGAAAACCAATACCAGCAGCGCCAGCAGCAACACCAGCAGCAGCGCCAGCAGCAGCAGCAGCAGCAGCTGCGCTAGTAGCAGCAGTAGCACCAGCAACAGCCGCACCACCACCGGCATCAGCGCCAGCACCGGCAGCAGCACCACCACTAACAACAATACTAACAGCAGTAGCACCACCAGCACCGCCAGCACCAGCAGCACCAGCAACAACCAACACGAGCAGCTCGAACACCAGAAAATTCCCAAGAGAGCTTCCAGACGCAAGACCCGAGACAAGAACCCCAAAAGGACCTCAAGACCTTCGAAACAAACCCCATCATAGACGGTACCTTTCCCTAGACTGGCTACTTTAGGATGGGCTGGTGGGGACTCGCGAAGCGTAAATAATAATGACAAAAGAGCAGTGGCGGATGACGAAGAAGAGGAACTAGAGGAAGCGGAAGCGGAGGGGCGAGGGGGGTGAGGAGGGAGGACAAATAGTGACGGAGGAGGAAGAGGAGGAGGAGGAGGAAGAGGAAGAGGAGGAGGAGGAGGAGGAGGAAGGGATAAGGAGGAAGGAGTAGGGAGGAAGGGAAGGAGGAGATTGCGATGAGTGGGAGAGGGAGGGCAAGCAGTGATCGAGGAAGAGGAGGAGGAGGATGGGGACAAGGAGGAGGAGGAGCAGGATTTAGAAAGGAGGTAAGGAGGGAGGATAAGGAGGAGGCGCATGTGCGGCAGTCGTAACAATAAGCCCACTGCACTGATGTGCATACACACGCCTACTGCCAGACATGCACTAGAGGGCAAACAAAACAACGGCACTTGAAACGAAGGCATATCGTGGCACTGGACCACGACAATCCAGATGGCAACTTCCGCACTGCCCCGCTGAAAATACCCACCTGCACTCATCGACTTCATCGGCGGCCTACTCAATAATATGCAGGAACCAATACTCAAACCAGCCGCAAGCCCACAATACGTACGCAAACAGCTGAGCAAATTCTACAACACGGTCGACCACGAGAGACGCATACAACCTGATTCTGCAATCACTCAAGCAGAGGTGCATACAAAAAAACTTGACTGCACAAAAACGGGAAGCGGCGCTGTTGTCCACTAGGTATGCGAAGTCTGCTCTTTTGATGGCTTGCCGCGCAAATCTGTCGTGGCGTGCGCGCCGCGCGTTTGCGCGTGCGCGTGCGTGCGTGGATATGTTCATGTGTGTCCGTGCGTGGTGGTCTGCGGCGCTGCTGCGTTATGCTGTGCTGCTCTGCCGTGCGCCTGCGGTCTGCGTGAACGTGTGTGACCTCTCTGTGTGCGTGCGTGTGCGTGTGCGTGTGCATGCGTGCGTGCGTGCGTGCGTGCGTGTGTGTGTGTGTGTGTGTGTTTGTGCGTGCGCGTGCGCGGCGGGCTCTCGGACGCCGTGCCGAGGATCAGATACCCCACCAATCGCATCCTCGTCGCTATCGGTGCCGGGAAAGGGCGCACCCTGCCTGCATCACAAAGGTTCCCCCCCCCCCCCGAGGCCCCAGCCGCAGGCGAAGGCTGGCATCGGGTAGACAAGCGTCCGGGCCAAATGCAGTCCCACAGGGTGTGGACGGCAATGCGACGGCTCTGTATGCTCGAGCGAGTCCCAACCTGATGACATGACGGCACTCCCCATCATACTCATCTCCTACGCGATGGCCTTCCGCGCCGCCCCTCCCGCGGACAAGGCCAACGTCAACTCCGCCAGTCATCTAGCAGACATGGGAGGTCGACTACGCGCGCGCGCAGCCGCCGCACTCAACATGCGGATCACCGGCCCAGACGGGCGCGCTCCACCCCCAGGGGCCCTTCCCATCACTGACGCCGGAGCGGCCGAATGGTCTGGGAGCGGATTCCAGTGCCCCCCTCTCCTCCTGCCGGCAGACTGCTGAGGACACCGCCAAGAGGCACGGCCTAAACGAGCCCCAGTCCCGAGTTCACCTCATGCCCCTCGACGCGATGGCGCTTCTGGTACACGGCCCCCCTGACGCGGGCAAGACTATGGCCGCGGCATCGCTGATCGACGTTGGGATAGGCTGCGCCCCGAAGGGCTGGACGGTCGGATTGCTCTTGGGCTCCAGCAGGGGAGCTGACATGCCAGCCGAGTACCTTGCCGAAGCCCACCGGGCTGGCAGATTAAACATGGGCGGCCGCTTCCCGGATGCTGCTGTCCGACGCGCCAATGTCACCAACCCCGAAGCCCGCGAACTCACCCCATCCAGCGGCGCACAAAGACGCACGGCATGGCCATCGGTGACATCGGCGTCAAGCCGCTACAGCGAGCGAGGAAGGAAGACCCTGCCAAGGCTTGCCTCGTCCTCGCCACACTCGAAGCGGCCGCGAAGCTGGACTCCCCTGAGAACCCCAATTTACATACCACCATGCTCGACGAGGCCGGGCAATCCATCGAGCCACCGGCCGCCGCCCCCCTATCACTCGCAGCCCGCAGCGAAGACCGCCTTGTATTATGTGGTGACGAAGACCAGCTGCGCCCCGCAGCGTTGTCCGCCCGCGCCGATTCTTTGGGCCTCAGCATTTTTACGCTCGAGCGCTTCCACGTTCCACGACTCCCTCGGGGCCTCGCCCCAGCGCGACGTACTGCTCAGCGCGTGCTATCGCATGCGCAACAGCATGCTCCAATGGCCATCCGACACCTACTATCAAAACGCATTGCTTTCTGGCCTCGCCGACGCCCTCGCTCAAAAACCGCCTATCCTTGGGACCCCCGGGGAACCGGCCAACCCAGTGCGCCTGCCCCCCCAACTCGCACCTACCAGACAGCGCCCCTGACGACCCAGTCGGCATTAGGATGCACAACTTTCGAAACGCCCAAGGCGGAGCTCAGCCGGGCGACTCTATTCTGGTCATCATGTCTGTCCACGAGAAGGACGCCGAGCTGCCGCTTGCCCTGGTTGAAAGCGCGGCCAACCTGAGGGGGGCTGCCACAGTCTGTGACATCGTCAAGTCCACGGAGGTACATCTGCTGGAAACAGGCAAGCGCGTCTTGATCGTCTGTAGGTACCGTGCCCAGGTGGCTATAAACAAAGCGGGATGGCCCATCGACCGCGCCGCCTCCTTCAGCGCCTACCAGGAGGAAGCCGAAGTCAAGGGCAAAGCTTCCGGTCGGAGCACGCCAGTGCACTCCAGGCCCTCCACGCCCCAGGGGCGCCCTGGCGCGCCAAAAAGCAAATCCCCCCCCCCCCCTCTGGTGCCATCTTCAAACGTCTTTCTGTCGCCGAACTCAGCGGCTTCCAGTTTGCCTTCAGCGGCGTCGAATGCATGATGCCCTCGCCTGGTTGACAGGGGTTTATTAGGTGTGTCCACCACTGACGGAGGCCAAGGCGACGAGGCCAATCTGGCGATCCTCTGCACCGCCCGCGCGAACTCCACTGGGTAGTGGGGCTGCGTCGGCGACCCCCATCGCATCAACGTGGCACTCACCCTGGCACAAGAGGGTGTTATTGTCATGCTGAACGTCAATGGCTGCCGCAGCAGCCGACTCCCAACTACGCATCGCAACGGAGTGGGCAGAAACCGCCGGTCTCTGGACCAGCTTAAACAGCGCCCCAGGCAATCGCGTCGCGCTCAGCGAGACCGCCAGCTTTTCACTGGCCAAAGTACGAGAGGCCCCGATTGGTGCGCACACCCCGGAACCTGCCCACGATGAGCAACCTCGGCTCTCAGCTGAGCAAGAACGGCACAGCGACACCAGGGAATACTCAGCCCTGGCCCCAGGCGTTGCATGCACGCAGCCTTCGCCCCCACATGTATGGCCCAGGGGGCTCGCCGACAGACCTCTACGAACAGTGCCCGCAGCTGGTCTGTCACGACGGGTACCTGTACAGCAACGAACTGGGCGTCGACGCCACTGACCTTGCGTGCACTGCGGCCTGGGCAGGCCTATTGCTCGCGGCGGGACTTCGACCTGGCGCAGCCCCCGACAGAGCCATAGTAGAGGACCGCCTGCTCCCCTCCTTCCGGAAGGAGATGCGAATCTCGCTGTAGCTGGCGCGTCGACAATCCCCCCGAGGGCACAGCCGGGCGCCCCCCAGCCGCCTGGAGCTCGCGCACATGCGCGCGCACTCGCCACAAGGGCGCACCATCGCCGCAGCACCGCGCGGCACTCGCCGGCCAGCACGATCGGCCCCTCCAGCCTGCTCAAGGATCGCAGTGGGGCCCCCATCCAGCGCGCAAGAGCAAGCGCCATCCTGGTCCTGATGCTCCTCCATATCAAGGATCCCAGGCCCAACCTGGCGCCCCGCGGAAGCCCCGGCCACGTCGGCAACATCCTCGAGGCCAGCCTGGGCATCTGCCCCCCCTACAACCACGCGCGCCTGCTGGTGCGAGATTGCTCTGGGGGGGCCCGCAATCTGGTAGATGCCGATTTCCGCAGGCTCCACGGGCGCTTAGAGGCCCCCATCATGCTCCAGGCCAGTCACCGCGGCGCACCGCCATCCGGGCGTTGAGGCGGGACATGCCGGCGCGCCCTGCAAGAATGCCTCTCTCGGGCACTCCCCTCTATAGAGCCCGCCCTCCATGCCCTGGGCCAGCTCGTCGCCCCCGCAGACCTCTCTTGCATGCAGACCCACGGCGGCGCCGTCTTCGCCATCTCAGAGGTCCTTCTCGGGTCTAGCTTGGGCCCCCCCCGAGGCCGCAAGTCCACCGCCCCGCAGTGCCTCGGAAGTGGGCCGTCGCGGGCGGGACAGGATGCCTCCCCGATGGCGCGCCGCCCGGAGCTGTGCTCTCTCACCCCAGCATCGGCCAGAACGATGGCCCGACTAATGCGGGACGGACCCCTTCAACCCCCGACAGGAGACCAGAGTTGCCCGGGTGGATCCCGCAATGAGACAGACGCACGCCGCAAGCCGCATCCAGTTCTACCGCCCGGGGGTGGACTGTCGACGGCACTGCCGCGGGTGCTGGCGCGCAGACTTGCCAGCCAAAGGACTGCCGACGTCGACCGACGACAGGGTGCCAGCGCACCTGGACGCCCTCGACGCCAAGCCCTCAGTCCTGCGCTGCCCCGGCCCTCTGCCTGGAGGACCCCCCGCTGTCCCTGCCCAAGGCGACGCCCCACTGGCCCCTCTCCTGCTGACCCCTGAGGGCCCCCGCGACCCTGCCCACGCCCGCGCCGCTATCTAATCTCCCGCACCATCGACGACAGGTCCGGCAAGTATCTCAGCTGTGGCCTGTCGAAGTGCCCATGCGACCGATTCCCTAGAGACGTCCCCTTGAAGCAGTGGCTACGCGGTAATGCGCCGCTGGGCATGTCAATCATCCGCCCTGAAAGCGTAGTTCCGCTCGGGCTGCTCCACGGGTTCCCGCTCTTCCAAGCACGAACGCAGGCGGTTGCCAACGCGCGGTGGAACGCTACGTGTTTCTGCGACGATTGCCTCGCGCACCTGCTTATCCTCAAATCTTTCTCTAGCATTCACCGGATGTCCTTGCTCTGTTTGAGCAGCTATCTTCTCTTCTTCCTGACCTCCTCCGCTGCTGGGTCCTCCTGCTTCCTCCCCGGGAACGTCTTCCTCGCGGCCTTCCTGCCTGTTCCCCCCCGCAAATCCCACGCGGCATCGGGTGGGGTTTCTTCCATCGCCTCGTCCCACTTCGCCTGGTCCTGCAACTCCTGGGAAAAGTAGTCAAGCAGCTCGCCCCTCCTGTCCCTTCCCTGACGCACCTCATAAGTGCCTTTTCTGTCGGGGCCTCCGGGACGGGCTGGGGGAGGTCAGAACCTGGTGGGCACCATGGTGGGGATAACTATTACTACTGGAGGGCGGCCCTTAAGGCCTCTGTTTTTCATGAGCCGCAATCGTTTACCATGGCTCCTCAACGTCATGCATCTTTCCTCCATTTCCACGGCCGAGGTGGGGATGGCTATGTGGCCTATCTTGCTTGGGTCTCCGGCTGGACTGTAGTGTGTCGGTCCGCAGCCCCAGTGTGTCGTCGCAATAGATATCGTTGGTACTATCAACCAGCGTGCCTTCTGGGTTCCGACGGACTACGAACTGTGTCTTGAGGTCTCCTCTTGCTATCGGTGTAATCCTCGCCCCCTGTTTGTCACATTGTGTTGCCACCCAGCCCACAAACCCTTTTCGCAATGTCCTCGTATCGTGTGTAGTATGTGAAAGTCAGGCAAGAGTACAAGGATGGCCAGGTCCCCTCCTTCCCAGCACTGGATGCCAGGTAGAATACAAGGAGGGCCAGGTCTCCTCCTTCCCAGCACAATCTGACTCCTGACACTCTACCTTGTATACTGGACTGCGGTGTGTGTGTCTTCATCAGAAAGTCGTCTTAGGAGTTTCGCTGTTGATCAGAGTTGTGGTACCACAAACTTTCGATATCCACTCACTTTTTCCCCTCCGTGTTGAATGCCCCGATGCCCCAGTGAAAACTCGCGTTAACTGTTTGATTATGCTCAGGTCCAGCTGCCCGTATGTGTGTCCCACTGGATAGTATGATATCCCAGTGTCGCAATTCGTTTCTAATGTCCTCCAATGATTCATGTGTGCTGGCCGCGTACGTATAGGCTGGAGGACGAGGAGGTCGAGGAAGGGGGACCCGCGGCGCGCGGAGGCGGCGAGCTGCGGCAGTGCAGGCGGAGCAGGTTGAGGACGAGGAGGACGCGAAGGACGAGGAAGGAGGACCCGCCGCGCGCGGAGGCGAGCTGCGACAGGGCAGGAAGAGCAGGTTGAGGACGAGGAGAACGTGGATGACGGGGAGGCAAGCACGCGAGGTAGAGCACCGCTCGGAGGGACGAGGAGAACGTGGAGGGGTACCCGTCGCGCACGGAGGCAGAGCACCGGCGCCGCAACTGCGGGAGGCCCTGGCCTCCTTTGCAAGCTTCTCCGCCGCCTGCATGGCCTGCTCGGGCTTGAACCTGCGCGGGCGCAGGGGGAGGGCCATGAGAGGAAGGAGCCAGGGAGCGTGGGGGGGCGAGGAAAGAGATGGCGAGGAAAGGGAGGGCGGGGGAGGGCCAGGGAAGGAAGGGGGCGTAGAAGCGAGAGAGGAGACTGAGGAGATGGGAGGGGAAAGCGAGGACGAGGAGAGAGGGAGTGAGGGGGGAGAGCGGAGGAATGGCGTGGGAGAGAAGGGAGGGGGAGAGCCAGGGAGAGGACGAGGACGAGCGGGAGGAGCAGGAAGAGTGAGGAAGGGAGGAAGCTGGAGCAGTGGCGAGAAGAGCATGCGGAGGAGGAGCAGGACGACGAGCAGGAGGGAGGGGGGAGAAGGAGAAGAGTACGTTGGAATTGCACCGCGCCCGATGGGCGAGAAGGGAAACGCGGAGCGGGGCAAGATGAAGCGGGGATGGAACCTAGGACGGGGGGAGAAACAAGGCGCGCGAGCTGCAATCGTATCCTCCTCCGTCACATTCCTTTATCTCGAATCTCATGTGCGCTGCTTGCTTGAACTATCGAGCAAGAGTATCGCGACTATTTTGAAAAACGCAGGCGCGTGCGATGTACATGTTTGTTGTATCATTTGTTTTCGTTTGCCTCCTCCTCCTCCTCCTCCTCCTCCTCCTCCTCCTCCCGCTTCGCCTCCTCAAAATGAGTATGATCCTGCTTCACATCTCCCTTTGGGAGCACTTTGCTTTCACTCAGGTGGAATGTGCCATTCAACTCCCCGTCCTGCTTCACGTCATCCTCATGCTCCTCTTCCTCGTCGCCCTCGTCCTCCAACCCCGTCTCAATCCCACAAACTTCTGTTCCATGTCTGCCTTCACGTCTCTGGGTCCGTGCAAAACAGCACGTGGTCTTGGGATATGGATACATGTATCATGGCGTCCCTCCTCCTCCTCCTGCTCCTCCTCCTCTTAATCCGCCTGCATATCCTCCTCCTCTTCCTCCTCCTCCTCCTCCTTGTCCTCCTCCTCCCACGGCTCCCCCCCCGCGACCCCCCCCCCACTGCTGGCGAGGGCACTCAGCCACAATGTCGTAGGCCTCGGCTGGCTCGATGAACTCCCATATGCCGTCGCTGCAGACAAACAGCGTCTGGGCGTCGCGGGCGTGGCATCGGGGAGGGGAGTTGGTCATCATCATCATCATCACCAGTACCATCACCATCACCATCACCATCATCATCATCATCATCATCATCACCACCATCAGCATCAGCGTCAGCATCAGCATCAGCATCAGCATCATCAACATCATCATCATCATCATCATAATCATCATCACAAACATCAACATCAACATCAACATCAACATCAACATCACCATCAACATCAACATCAACATCATCATCATCGTCATACTCATCAGCACCATCTTCAGCATCATCGTCATCAGCATCATCATTGGCATCAGCATCATCATCATCACCATCATCCAGCATCGTCATCATCACCACCATCATCATCATGATCATCAATCCTGGATGTGGACGCTTTCGTCAGGGGAGTATGGACCATCAGGGGGGTGGGCACAGGCACTCTGCCCTGGAATGTACGACGATCAATGTACACCACGTCAAGCGCTGGCCTGCAGGAGAAGGACAGCGAGGGGGGGAGGTCAAGGACGGGGAGGAGGTCAAGGATGGGAGAGGAGGCCGTGGGCGAGGATGGGGTGGGAGGTCAAGGATGGGGAGGACAGCGAGGGGGGAGGGAGGAGGTCAGGGATGGGGCGGGAGGCCATGGGGGAGGATGGCGGAGGAGGTCAAAGATGGGGAGACGGCGAGGGGAAGAGGGAGGAGGTCAGGGATGGGGGCAGGCCACGGACGACGAAACACGAGAGGGAGGGGGGCGGCGGCACCAGGCGAATCAGAGGCGAAGAGGGCGCCGAATGCGAGGGCGGATGTCGACGAGGAAGGAGAAGTGGAAGGGGTGAGAAAGGGTGGGGCTGGAGAAGGAGGGGGTGACAAGGACTGATGGAGGTGTCGATGTCGGGGAGGGGCGGACGGGGAGAGAGGAGGTAGAGCTGGAGAAGGAGGGGGTGATAGGGAAGGAGGGATGGCACGGATGGAGGGAGGGGCGAGGGTGGGGGTAATTAGGGAGGACGGAAGTAATTGTGATTCTGCCATTGGTGGAACATGAGGAGCAGACTTGGGGCATGCCACGAGGGAACGACCCAACGAAAAGGTCCAGCTCGGCGCCGTGTCGTTCTCGGTGAGGTAGTACTCCTGGACCTCTGGCTCGCAGCTGATGCCGCAGTCCTCTGCGACCCTCCAACTCCCCCAATCCATGAACGAGTCTCGCCTGCGCTGGCTGCTCGAATGACTCGCCCCCTTTCCCCCGCCTTTTCCCATCCCTTCTGTCCACCCGGTTCCCGTGTCCTGCTGTCGCCCTCCCGTCGTTTCCCACTCCTCCATCCGGCCCTTCTCCTGCACACTGCCCGTCCCTGCGACGCCGGCACGCGGGCCCTCCTCTTCGTATCCCGCCCTGCCTCCGCAGCCATCTTGGCTCAAGCGTTGGCCCAGCCCGTCCAAAGGTGGGGTCGGGAGCTAGCGCCAGGCGGCCGCGCGGCCGTTCTCACCCCACCCCCGCGGCCGCCCCGCTGGCATCGGGCTCCCCTCCCTCCAGCTGCCATGGCCCCGTAGCTTGTCGCTGGCCGTCCTCTGCGGTCTCGTCGCACCGTCGCCGAGCGCCGCGCCCAGGCTTCCAGGGCGGAGGCGCGGGCGGTGCAGGCCCCCTTTTGCGCTCGTTTGGCAGCCTTCGCGCGGCCCTCCAGGCCGCGCTCCGGGATCAATTACGTGCTGTTCATGATGGCCCCGAGGCGCACGGAGGAACTCACGAAGAAGGCCATCCGGCTGGAGGAGATCGTGAACCTCCTCTTTCTGCTGGTCATGCCGAGCCATCACCTGCTGAATCTCCTTCCGAATTGCACAGGCCAGCTTATCAAGAGCATTCCCAAGACCACGATCTGCGTGAAGGTGCTGATGACTCTACCGCTGACCTTGGGTACCTTCCTGCCGCTCACCACGATGAAGATCGTGGTGCTTCTGAGCTACCTCCTGCTGTCGAACAGCGTGTCCTTCTCCAAAATCCTGCTGCCGGCAAGGACCAAGGAACGGGCAAGGGCCGTGCCGCGGCACCAGGAAGCAGCAGGGACAAAGGCAACAGCAAGGACGAGGACAATCACAAGTCTGCTGGGTATCTACGGCGTGCCCGTCGCGAGCGCGAAGAGCCGCAAGCCGCTTCCGCAGTGCGAGTGTGGGCCCTGATTCATGGGCTGCTGGCGCCGACCTGTGGTAGTCGGCTTCTTGTCACCTGAAGGGCAAGGACAAAGAAAAAGGTAAATGCGCCTGAAGATTACGGATCGGCTGAGCGCCCGGCTCGGCAGCCAGGCGGTTAGGCCCGTTTCCGTTCGTGATCGTGCGGCTGCCGCTGCCGTCGTCGTCGTCGTCGTCGTCGTCGTCGTCGTCGTCCTCGTCTTTGCGTCGCTCCACTCGTTCGTCCGTCGTCGTCGTTGTCCTCGCCGTCGTCTTTGGTCGTCGCCGTCGTCTGTGGCCGCCTGTGTCTCCCTCTACCTGGGCCTCGCGCCCTTCCAGGGTGCGCGCGTGGCCAACCGAGAATCCGAGAATCCCCCTCTTCCTCCTCCTCCTCCTTCTCCTCCTCCTACTCCTCCTCCTTCTCCTCCTCCTCATTGTTAACCCCTCCTGCCTCCTTCTCCTCCCTCTCCCCCTTCTCCTCATCCTGCTCTATCGAACTCATCAGTCTCATCTTTCCCTCCTAATTGCGTACTGCTCCTCACCCTCCGCCGCTGGGTTCATCGCTCCCATGGTCCTGGTGTCCCATCAAGTCGCCCAGGCACCGGGACATGTTCAGGCCTCGGCTCGTGCGGCCACTGGCGAGGAGGTAGAGGGTTCAAGCAGCAGGGAGGAACGGAGAGGCTCGGGGATGGGAATCGAAGATCAGAGCGGAGGCTTTGAGACAGGGCGGGTTGGAGGGAATGATTGGGGGGAGCGAGGGAGGTGAGGACTGGATGGAACGAGATGGGAGGGGAGGGGGCAGAGAGGAGGCGAGTGCAAACTAAGGGCCATCTCGCCATGTCTGACATCCTACCATTCCGCTCATCTATTCCCTCTTGCACTTACTTTCTCTGTCCGCCTACGGGTGCCATAACGGGCCTGGAACCTCACAAAGGACCACTACCGTGTCACGCGCAATGAGCAGGCGGAGCTGGGTACAATGGAGATGGAGGAATAGGTGGTAGATGAGGAGGGTGAGCAGGCGGAGCAGGATGTTATTGAGGAGGCCGCATCATGCTCTGCTATGCAGTCTCTTTGTCTTACTGCCTCCTGGAGTTCGTGAGCCATGCTATTGGCGCTCTGCTTTTCGTTGGGCATGTGGTTGTTATGTGTTTCAAGCTCTGTCCTCAACGCCACCTCCCCTCTGCTCTACTAGATGCAGAAGTTCGCGGTCTTCTTGTTGTTTCTTGGTGTTGTGGTCGATCTGTTGCTCGAGGTGCAGGTTAATTTTCCGTGATCACCCTTGACAGCTTGGATCTTGCTCCAACTGCTTGCCTTTGGGCCTCTGAAAGTCTGAAATGGCTGCTGCCGTTGACATGTAAGCGTGTCTACATATTTGCGGTGCTTGACGCTGGCGTCCCTACTGGCGACGTCGTTCTCGTACTTGCTGTAGATGATGTCCCTCGTTTGCTTGTAATGCCTCGCCTCCTCCCTGTAGGAGGGTTTTGTCTTGCTTCTCCTTCTGTAGCCTCTTGCTGAAGATCTCATGCCGCTTTGCCGCAGGCCGAACCTGGAGAGGGCGCACCTAGACGTCTGCTGTGTCGTCGCCGTAGATGGGAGGTGGTCCCACTTCTGGTCCTGGCGTGCGGCTTCGGGCCCTCGTGCTGCTCGTCGTCGGCTTCCGAATGCTCTGTGTCCCCTCACTTACCTGCGTGTATCCGTTCAGCTTGCTTCTGGGCCTCTGTGATGTACGCGTTGAGGTTGACGACGGTTTTCTGGGCGTTGTTCCTTGCGTCCTCGAAGTCCTCCTGCACTCGTCAACATCCTAGACGTGGTGACGTGGTCCTTGCTGGGGTAGCCATTCTGGACCATAGCCTGCGTGAGGACGATCGTTGTACGTGAGTCTTCGGTGGGAAGCTGCGCGTAATTGTTTCTGACGGATTGTATGACCTCTAGCCTGTTGACCCTCCAGATAGCGCGCGCGGGGCACTCGCGGTGTTCTTCCCTAAAACTCATGTTTGATAGCGTCCCTCTTCCTCATCGGGATGACGTCGGCGACGACGGCGTTGACGACGGCGTTGTACCCCTTGGGGGTTTTCTCGTCGTCGTCCTCCTGATCTTCGGCGGTAAGTTCAGGCTGTTGCTCCGTTCGGCACTCCAGTCCCATCATGGGTCCTCCTTCCACCTGGCAAGTCCTGCTCCAACGGCTGGTTTGAATCGTGTTGGTGGCTTGGGTGATGGCTGTAGCCGTGATTGCCAATTGGGTGCTGGCTTGGGTGCCGCCTTTGGCGCCCTTGTGGCTGCCCGGAGTCGGGGTGGCTGCTGAGCGCTGCGGTGAGCGCTGCATAAGCCATGCGCTCAGGCGATGTGCAGCAGGACGAGCGCGTACGCGGGCGGCGGAGTCGCCTCAGCCAGGCGGGGCTGCAGGATTGTGTGGTGGATGTCGTGGTATGTAGCCGACGTGGACGTCGGCGTGGCCCCTCGCAGGGGTGCAAGCGAAACGGATGTCCAGGTAGTTGTTCTGGAGATCGCGGGCACCCGAGGGGTTCGCGCTGGCCGTCGCCCCGGCCGCCCTGTGCGGCAAAAGGGGCGGACTCGGGCGTGCGTGGCTCCTCCTCCTCTCCCGGGATGTGGGAGGACAACTGAACGACAACGTGGGAGGCGGGAGCAGAGATGTGCAAGAGGAGGCGCATGTTCGGCCATGGGGGACCCTCGACGCAGACAGGGCCAGGGAATCCCAGGGGGTCGGCTGCAGCGATTGTGGACCCAACGGGGCGGAGAGGAGGGTACTAAAAAAGATGGAAGGGAGGTCTGCAGCTCGGGCCGAGAGCACGGAGCGAGCGAGAGGGGAGGAGTGAAGTAGGTGCGGAAGGAGGGAGGGTTGAGAGGGAGGGCGTAAAAGGAGAGAGGGAGGGGGGGAGAGAGAGAGAGAGAGAGGAGCGGAGGTGAGCAGGCGGGGAGGAGGGGTGGAGGGCTGGCTGGGAGGAGGTGGCGGCGAGGGCACGTAAGGATTCGGAGAGAGCGCGTGCGTCTTTGGACCTCGCAGAGGGGCCAGAGCCCCTCCGAGAGTGCGCCGCAGACCACCGCCGCGCAAGCGCCCGCCGATCGCTGGGAAGTCGCGCCTCTGCGCGCCCGGCGCTGGGGCACAGAAGGATACCGATGCCGCCGCTCACTCCACCTCCCCTGTGGGTGCGTTCTGACTATCATCTTGAGGAGGATCCAACTGTGGCGACGGGGTCTCTCCAAGGCGTGCAGCATGCGAGTGGCCTTCATCCGCTGTTACGAAACCAGTACATGCGAGGTTTCCTCATCCGATGCTTCTGCGCAGTGCCATCTAGGCTGAAGAGCCCCTGGAGAGCGACGGCTTCCTGCGTGTGGCTTACATAACACGAGACAGCTATCGTGTAAGCCCGACTGTCCTCTCGATCGGTGGGCGAGCAGCGGCATCGTCACCGCCTCCTCCTCTGATGCGCGGCCCTCTCCTCCTCGCCCGCCTCAGCGGTAGGACTTCTGGAAGCGAGAGCGCGCCGAGCGACCGCCAAACTTTTTCGGCTCGCAGCGGCGCGGGTCCGCCACGATCAGCGACCGGTCGTAGGCCATGAGGACGTCCTCGGCGCGGGGTGCGTCTGGGAACGTTTCGGCAAGCACGCCCTGTGGGGACCGTCTGCCTCCTCTGCCTCCTCCTGGCGGCGCGTTCGGGGACGCGCCAGCCGACCCCACAGGGGCGCCACTTCGTCCAGCGTTGGACGCCGCCCGAGAGTCTGCGCCCTGTGGGTACTCTGGGAGAGCGGCAGCTGACGCCTCGGTGAGAGCGCGCGCATGGTCGGCTCAGGCTCGTTTCCCAACTCTCCCGTGTTGTTGGGTCCTCCCTTGCAGTCCGCAGCGCCGCGTGTCCACTCCTCCTCCCTCCTCCCCTCCCCCCCTCCTGCTCGCTGCTGCTGTTGCCGTGTGCAAGCGGGCGCGCCTGCCACGCGGGCACACGCTGGATTCGGCACGCCCCTCACGTGTACCGCTCCCTAGATTGAGCTCCCCATGCGACCCCCGTGGTCAAATTCGCATGGCGCTGTCCCGCCTGCACTGGCACACCCCTCACACCGATCGCGCCCCGCAGGGAGCTCCAAATACGGCGTCAGCGGTGCGCGTTCGCATGGCGTTGCCCCGCCCATGTCGGTACACCCCCCGCACGAACAATGCCTCACAGGGGAACCCTGCCTACGGCCACAATGGGCGCATTCGCATTGCGTTACCCTGCCCATGTCGGCACACCCCTCACACGAACAATGCTCCACGAAGAATTCCATGTCGGCATCCCCTCACACGGATAATGCCCCACAGGGAGCCCCACGTTCCCGTGGGCGCGTTCGCATGGCGCTGCTATGCTCATGTCCGCGCATCCCTCATATGGATCGCGCTCGAGAAGGAACTCCACTTGCGGCTACAAAGGGCGCGTGGGAATGGCGCTGCATTTCACATGTCGGCGCGTCAGTTCAGTCACGTGGATCGCGCCTGATAAGGGGCTCCACGTACGGCCACACAAATCGCATGGCGTTGCCCCGCCAATGCCGGCACGCCCTTCCGATCGGTTTTGGACGGGGGTAAACGGGGGGTGCCGACATGTTGCTTGATGTATGTGTCACGCGCACTGGCTCAACTGGAACCCTTCACGCGCGCGTCTCAAACTTGGAGCCGCTGGAGCAAGAGGCACACTTGGTTTGGCGCACGTGGAGCGCGTGGCTCCTTTGCCGTAGCAGGCGCGCCTCGCAGCTTGGGTCGCTGGGGCACCTGGCGCACCTTGTAAGAGTCGCGTATTTGGCCACTGGATTGGTTCCCAGTGGTTGCCCATCCGATGGCGCCCTCTGCCTATGTTCAGTCCCGAGAGCTACCTCTGTGGCGAGAGGGCGCGCGGGAGTCAACGAGACAACTTTTGGCGTACCCTCCCCTCCCCCCTGCCGTGGCTCTGGAATGCGGGGGGGGGGAGGTGGCAGAGGGTCCGTGTGGGCCCAAGATGGCTCCACAGTAGAGCTCCAAATGCCCCAAGGTTTCACGAACCGTTGTACAACGTTGTCTAAACTGGACCGAGATGGCGTCCAACATACCTCCAAGGGTACAAGAGATGCCTCCAACACCGCTCGATGGGGTTGAGTACGAATTCGCCCGAAGATGCCCCCGAAGAACGAACCACACATCATTCAACACACGTATTGCATGCTTCAATGGTTTTGGCGGCTTCGCCGTTTCTGTCCCATTTCAAATGGAATGGGGGCGTCAAATGCCTGCCTTCCGCGTGTTCTGCATGTTCCTCCTACTTACCTGGTCCGGTCTACTCACCTGTGCTTCGTTTCTATATGGTATGGTCAGACCGTGTGAAGAGTTAGAGAACGTTAACATTGGCGCATGCCGACACATGAATATTTTACTCCCCCGCAACAAATGTCCTTGATCTCCTTCTTGGAGGCTTCATCGATGTATTTCTGGTAATAGGCAACGATCCCCTTCGCAATGGCCTGCCGGTCGGTTGGCAATGGACGTTTTCTCCCCCCCAGACATGCGCCTCACCCTGACTAGTTCCGTGAAGACCCATTGGCAGGAGATGGAAGGTGTGAGCGGGGGAACAGAATTCTCAGTCGGGGTGTGAACGAAGAGCGAAAACACAAGACAGGGGAGAGGGACTCGGATCGAAAGGAAAACGCGAAAAGGAAAGCGGCGATAGAGAGAGAGAGAGAGAGAGAAAGAGAGACTTATACAGATTCCTCCCCCCCAAACCGCACTCCCGGGATCTGGGGCTTAGGGACCCTCGGACGGGCCTCGAAGCGGCCCCCCGGGCCTCGCAGGACGTGGCGCGCTCCCGAAACCACCCCAAAAAACCCCAATACTGTCGACGACGGCCCCCAAGAAGCCGTCATACCCCCAAAGATCCTCCCGAAACGTCCCAAGAGGCCTCCAAGAGCACTCCCAAGAAGGCCCCAAGAGGCAAAAATCATTGATTTTGTTGGTTGTTGGTTTATTTGGGGGTTCTCCTCTTTTCGGCTTCCCGAAGCTCCAAGACGGCGGTCTTCTGGGCGTCCGAAGCCGTCTGGGAGGCTCCCAAATCGCCCCACAACCATCCGAAAGGGCTTCCAGGCAGTCCAGGAGAGCCCCAAAACGGCACAACAGGGGTCCAAGATGGCCCTCGCAGAGCCCCATGGCGGCCCAAGATGGCCCCATGACAACCTCCGAAGCAATCCAAATTGTGACCCGGTCGTTCAAGGAAACCGCGGTTGGAGGCAGGGTGGCCCGAGGAAGCCCCCAGAGGCCCCCAGAACACGCCCAGGAGGCCTCCAGAAGGCCTTAAGAAAGCCTGAAACAATTTTCGTGAGGCCCCCAGAGGCTCTCCAAGGAGGAGCCTCCGCAAAAAGATCTGAGGAGGATGGGGAGAATGCGCAGGGCATGGCGAAAATGAGGAAAAAGAAGCATGGAGGAACGATAACGAAAAACATTATTATAGCGGCGATACCGGAAAAGGAGTTATTGCTAAATTGTCGGCTTGACCTTCCTGCTAGTCTGCCTGCATACCAAACTTCAATGACCAAGGTGCATGGCACGAAGCGCCACTGCAGTCATGTATATATATATATATATATATATATGTACCCAGCCCCACCTTTTTGCGTGCGGACACGCCAATGGTCAGAGTAGGCCAGCCCCCCTCAAACCCCCCAGCTACTGTACTACTGTACGCGCCGGGATGCAAGGGTACCCTACGCCACGCATTACCTAGGCGGCAAGCACGCGGCGCCTACCGCACCGCGCGCTTGCCACCTAAGGCGTGCGAGGTGGTCCTCCACCGTTCGCATACAGCACTCTGGGGAGGGGGCCTACGCTATCTTCTGGGCTACGGCACCAGCAGAAAGCGTGCCTCAACACGGAAGGGGTGGACCGCGGGTGGGAGCCCAAACAGGCTACGGACGTGTTGGGGCGGCGTGTCCTGGCCGAAGGGGGGGGGACGGGTATACGCATACAGGGGACCAGTATACAGACATACCCTGCCCCACCTTTTTGCGTGCGGACACGCCAATGGTCAGAGTAGGCCAGCCCCCCTCAAACCCACCAGCTACTGTACGCGCCGGGATGCAAGGGTACCCTACGCCACGCATTACCTAGGCGGCAAGCACGCGGCGCCTACCGCACCGCGCGCTTGCCACCTAAGGCGTGCGAGGTGGTCCTCCACCGCTCGCGCACAGCACTCTGGGGAGGGGGCCTACGCTATCTAACTCCCCCACCTACTGGCCTAAAGGCTACGTAGGCCGTCCGTGTTTAACTCCCAACCCCCCCTGCAAATGGCATATTTATGCCGGTCCTTAATTCGGGGGTTGCCGGGGGGGCAAGCCACAAGACTGCGAGGGGGGGTCTGGACACGCAACCCGCGCCAGGCCACAGGCCTGACGCGGGGCAGGCACCGCGCAGGGCGGCCCCACGCGTGCCAGACATCCCTCCGCAGCCCCTTGGTTTGGCCCCCCCAGCACACCCCCCTACTCCACGCCCTTCTCCAGCCCTTACACTCCACACGAGGGGGAGGTGACGGGGGGAGGCGACGGGAGGAGGTGAAACGATGCACGGAGAAGGCGAGACGGGCGTGGACCCCAAACAGAGAACGCCCCACACAACGGGCGGACCCAGGGGACCCCGGAAACCAGACCCAGAAAGAGAGAGAGGGCCACGCGGCCCCACGGCGGGAGGGCGGTTGCCTTCGCCGAAGCGAAGACAAACGCCGGATTTTCGGCAAGCACTGTTGGGCGCGAGAGTGGCCTTTTACAGTGGCCAGCTGCAGGAGCCGCAGTCCCCGCGCAACGGCGCGGGCTGCCTCGCTCCCGGGCTGGGCGCGCACTGAGTCGGCCACCGCGCCCTCGATGTACAGGCGTGCGGTGGCGGAGGAGGCCCACCGACCCGCCACGAGGGTCGCCTCCATGGAGCCGCTCCTGACGAAGAAGGCGCTCGCCCCGCCACGTCGCAGGCTGTGCCTCGTGATGGGCCCCGCCAGGCCCAGGCCCCTCGCCAAGGCGCGGAGGGCACCACGCAGCTGGGACGGCGTCCGCCATGAGAGCCGCGCGCCTGCACCAAGGCCGCGGACCGCAATCCGCAGGAGCGCCACGGCCATCCTGCTGCGGACGACGACTGCCTCCGCGCAGTCCTTGCCCGCCGTGGTCTTGGACGAGCTGATGCGGACTATGAACAGCTCGCCGCGGTCGACGATGTCGCCCACCGTCAGGGCAAACACCTCTGCGCCTCGGAGCATGCCCTCGAAGCCGACGAGAAGGAGGGCGGCCGCGTCGAAAGCACCTGCAGCGCGCGCGAACCCCGCCATGGCCGCGACGGCCTCGGTCGTGAGCGGCAGCACCCTGGACGCTGGCTCATGATGCCTCCATGCCTTGAGGAGAGTCCAGCTCAGGTCGAGGTGTCGCCTCAGACGAGGCACCGCGAAGCACACCCCCGCCAGCGTGTTGTTGGCGGCCGCGATGCCCGCACCAGAGGCCCACAGGCCTTCGAGGTACTCCGCGACGAGGGCGTCTGCGTCCTCGGGGTCGCCGCGCAAGGCGTCCGCCCCAGCCTGCTCGGCCCCAAAGTGGGCCAGCAGCGCGCGCAGGGCCCGCCCGTAGCGCCGCCGCGTCTCCGCTGACACCCTCAGGGAAGAGAGAGTCTGGCAGCGCGTCCCGCGGCGTCTCACGGGGGCGGGCCTGCGGTGAGCGGCCGCGCGCGCGGCACGGGTCGCCCTCGCCTCCTGGGCTTCGAGCCACGCCACAGCACCCTCCTCGACGGCTCGTCTGCAGGGTTGTCCTCTGAGACCACGTAGCCGATCAGTGGGTACATGTTGGCCGCCACGACGACGGCCATCCAGCGCTTCAGGATGGGCTGTAGCTTCCTGCTGCTGCTGCGGCCCTTCGTCACGATGGCCGCGACCACCTGGCTGTCGACGAGGTGCAAGAACCTGCTCCCGCGCTGCGCGACCTTGCGGGCGCGCCACCTGATCGCCGCCGTGGCCGCCTGCAACTCTCTCACGTTTATGTGGGTGGAGCTCCGGCCAGGCCACGCCATGCTGACCACCGCGCGCCGCTTCCACACGAACGGGCCCAGGCTCGTCCTCGGCCAACCTCGCGGGCGGTAAGGGACGCCGTAGTCCAGCCTGACGTCCGACCCGCCCTTCTCCGCGCGGCTGAGGTAGTGCAGGACCAGCTGCCTCGCCTCCGCGGTGTCTGGCTCTCCTGGCTCCGTGGCGAAGGCCCCCGCCTGGTCCCACGTCGCCCTGCACACGCGGACGGGGGGCACCTCCTCTATCGACAGCTCCCTGTTCAGCGCGCCGCGGCGGTGCAGGAGCTGCTGGCACAACCATGCCACGACGTGAATACTGAAGCTGTTGCCGAGGAGGAAGGCCCTGGCGTCGGAGGCGTCCTGGGGGTTCGAGCCCTTGGTGGCTAGGGAGGTGTACCCCACATCAAAGCCAAGGAGCCGCTCCCTCTCCTCGCTGGTGGGGAGGCGCAGGAAAGGGAACGAGGAGGTGCAGATCATGTTTTTGTCCTCGTACAAAGCCACATGATACCTGTGCCCGTCCGCAGCCCACCTTTGACGAGCCGTCTCCGAAGCAGCCGCGAAGCCACGCGGGGCAGAGGGGAAGGAGGGCTGAGGCCTGCAGCAGACGAGCGTGGGGAAGCACCTTGGTCTCCCTGGCCAAGAGCAGCCCTCGTCCTCCCACGCGAGGTCCATGAGCGGGACGCCAGGGCCCACCTGCTCGTCGTAGACCCCGCGGTCGGTCAGCCGAAGAGGCGCCGATGCGGTGACGCCCCAGCTCGTCCAGAACAGGCGCGGCCTGCGACACGGCACGAACACCGACGAGCACACCAGCGTCGGCCTCACCTGCAGCGCCTCCGAGATCAGCTCCACGTTGGCGTCGGACATGCTGGCCACGTTCTCCACGAACCAAACGAGCCTGTCCTTGAAGACGGCGGCGAGGAGAGCCAGGATGCGTGGCACCTCGTGGAACAGCGAGGACTTCCTGCCGCTGAGGCCGCGCCCGCCGACGTTGAGGCGTGACAGGTCCTGGCAGGGGCTGCCCGCTGCGACCACCACCAGGTCGACGAGGCCGCCGAACGCCTCGAACAAATCCTGCACCGCCTCGCTGCCCACACGGGTGACGTCGCCCCAGTCGATGACACCTGGCCAGCGGAGTCTGACAACTCGCCTCGCCTTGGCGTCCGTCTCGGCCGCGACGAAGGCCGCGATGCGGACGGGCAGCCTCGAGAAGGCGACGGCGAGGCCTCCGATGCCGTCGAACAGGCCGATGAGCAGCACCGACAGCACCCTGCGGACTGCCTTGGCGGGGACGCGTGGGTTGGCTGCCGCCCACGGTCGGGCGGGGTCCTCGGGCATGTTGAGGAGCCTGGCCCCTATCCCCAGCTGGTCGGGGACCGTCCTCGGCGCCTGCAAGGCGGCGGCGACGTCCTCGCGCAGGCCAGCTGACGTGCACACGCCGCCG